TTTGAATGAAATTTGGTATACAGATATTCTAGACCCCGAGATAAAACATAGGCTACTTTTTATCGCGAAAAAGGGGTTGTTGTAAGAATAATTATTACGATTTATCTGAAAACCTGAAAACGGATATCTGACAGGTAACATTACTATGGTAACCAACCTGATAATTTGTAATTGTTATGACGTCCTACTTTCATAATATATTTTGGCATCAACATATAAAAATGAAGTTCTGTGGGTTTTCAAGGAATAATATTAGTATTCAGCTGCATCAGGGATCAGGGATTTTAAAGACAAAATACGAATTCAATTGACTGAATACAATTTATTCATAGACTAGCCTCTGTCTGCGGCTTCTCTCGCGTTCTTTTAATGGGGTGAGGGAAGGATTTACAATAAAAAAATGAAATGATGCACGATTCTATGCTGGTCACAAATAACCCGCATACCAATTGTTAGCTTTCCACATTGAAAATTGCAAAATACCCCATACAAACTTTCACCTCTGTTTCACGGAAGTGGAAGGGGGTTAAAAAAAAAAAAAGTAGCCTATGATACTCTCCATCTTTTCAACTATCTCAAATCAAAAACCTTCCTGACTCCGTTCTGTCGTGAAATACGGACAAACAAACAAACAAGCACATACAAATTTATATTATTAGTATACATTTCTTAAGTCATCTGACATTTGTGTGACAAGTGAGTTTACAAAGTCAATGTGTCATAGATTTTTTTTATACTATGGTATTAATATTAAGGTATGCAAAGAGGTTGACAGCAGTCTAAGGAGATAAAACCACGAATAAAATATTTTCAGTTTACTTGAATTCGTATTTTTTATATGTATATCAAAAAAACTAGCTAAATGCACATAGCTAAAAAATAATATTAGTCCTTTTCATTTTAGACCGTCAAGGCCAAATTCACTATGATAGTTTGCTGTTTGTTTATGGCATAAGCCGGTAAACGAGCAGACGGATCACTGCGCCGCCCATGGACATCTGTAACACCAGAAGTGCTAGAAGTGCGTTACCGGTCTTTTGGGAATTGGTAATTTGAGGATTGTTAGGGATTGGGGGGGCTGGGGGAGGGGTAATTGGGCCTCCGGTAACCTCACTTACACAGCGAAACACTCCTTTAGGTAACCGAGGGCTGGGCTCGCTGTCATTGCAGCGGAAAGTCCCCTCTTTAAAAGTGGCTTTAGAGAGGCCATCAATGCAAGGACCGCCCGGAGAACACGGTGGAGCATACCGTGGCGGTGTACCTTGCATGGGCTGAGCACCGCCGTGTTCTCAGGGATGTAGGAAACGGTGACCTCTCGCGTTCGGCTCTGGTTCAGGCCATGGAGCGAGGGGGATTGGGATGCAGTCGCATCCTTCTGCGAAGCAGTTATGCTTGCCAAGGAGAAAGCGGAGCGTGTGAGGGAATGAACTTCCTCACGCCCCAGCCGTCGCGGGAGACACTCTCACCGGCCACCGTAAGTGCGGGTCTGTAGACGCAGAGCAAGGGTAGCTCGCCACCCGACCAGAACCAGTCCCGTGCATACGGCGCGCGCCTTACAGAGCCATGACACCATCATAGATGGAGCCCAGTAGGGCTGATGCTCGATACGGTGCCGCGGGAGGCCTAACGAGTTGACGGGGCTCCGGCTCGACGAGCAGGAGTAGGAACGGAGTGGATTTTAGTCAGTAAGAATCTGTCACTCCCTCTCACCTAACCCAAGGCGGGAGAAGTGATTGGATGATTTTCCGACCTCAAAAAAAATCTCCTTTAGGTAATGACAACCCGATGTGTGAAAAACTACCAAAAAAACTCCTTATATTACTGGTATTGATTACGCTGTGGAAATTATGGACAATAGAGCCAAGGGATGTATTAAGTCTTATAGAGGACATTAATATCAACATTAAAGTACATGTATCATATGTAACTAACCTAATATCAGAATACCTATTTTTTCATTTAAATGTTTGCGATAGTAACGCACGTCGCACCGGTACATATCAGGTCACATTATAGGAGAGAGGAAATCCCAAAATGACGGAAACTATGCGCTAAAAAACCAGGACCAAGGACGTTGAAATAAAGAGGGGCTCTTACCTTTTAAACCATTGAACCTATTTGGTGAAATTCGGCGCAGCGATAGTTTGAGACCCGGGAAAGGACATCTAAAAGTTTTTAACCCGAAAAACCCACGAAACCGGGAACTGTGCTGTTAAAATCACTATATCTATTTGATTGAAATGCGATACAACATTGATTTGCAAACATAGAATAGTGAAACTTCACGAGACGGGCACTATACGGGTAAAACCTCTATGGGATTGTTTATTTTAGAAACCACGAAAATAAATTCATTTCTCAATAAATATAATCTAGGTACTGAATCGATTGTGATGATATTTGTTCCAGTTGTATAGCCATAGAATATACCTTGACAAAGACTAATTTAAAAAACCCAATTTATACAGAAGTCGTTATTTCACGCGGACGAAGTCGCGGGTAACAGCTAGTTATATATATATTTTAAAATTGATGATATTTGATAGTTTTTTTTCATGTATTATTTGATTTTTTTATCTACACATAACTTTAGTTTTTAAAGGAGATATAACTACGTAATATACAACTTTAAAAGAACTACAACTAAAACAGTAAATAAAAAGAAACTTAAAAAAACATCGTAACTGGGTTTTTAAAAAAAATCAGTAGTAGCACGGAGTCTGGAATTGTGCCCGGTATATGGCAATAGGCTCACCGCCTATTACATGGGACTCATAACATAAGCACCTAGTGAAAAGTGGGTGTTACTTCTGTGTGCACCTATGCATACCCCTTCGGGGATAAAAGGCGTGATGTTAAGCTATAATGATACTGATATTTTTAATCTGGTTTGCCTTTTAAGAAAGCATTAATTTTAATGAACTAAAAATGTAGTGTCAGCAATATTTTAAACAAATCGAATTATGTAGCGCAGACGTTTTGGCTCAAGTGCTCAAACTTGAATTTTATTTTGGCAGTAACCTCTTTTTATGAGGCAATAAATCTTTATTAATTAGCATTTTTATAACCAAGTATTAATTTAAGTTTTTTATCATGAAACCAGACGGAGAAATATCCTTTTTTGTCATCTAAAAATGGATTATAATTTTGCGTTTTAAATTGCTAGGTGCTGGGCAGCGGCGATTGCTTATCATCGGGTGATTTATTTGCTTGTTTGCAAATATCTACTTCAAAGTGTGGGAGAGCCATGCTTCGGCACGAATGGGCCGGCTCAACCAGCCAGAGCGATACCACGCCCGAGCAGAAATCCGACGTGAAACAACACTTGTGTTGTGTTTCGTCGTGTGAGTGAGGTTACCAGAGGCCCAATTACCCTGAATCCCCAACTATCCTCAAACTCGTAGTCCCCAAAAGGTCGGTAACGTACTTGTAACGCCTCTGGTGTTCCAAGTGTTCATGGGCGACGCCGATTGCTTACCATCAGGTGATTCGTCTGCTTGTTTACCGGCTTATACTATAAAAAAACAAAAAAGACCAATATAAAAAAAAATAAGTAAAGAAAACAGATAGCATCTACCAAAATATTTTTTTAAGAATCTTCGAAAATCAAATACAAGATCCCTATTTACTACCAAATTATTATTCATCACACAATCAAGTTAGCAGTTCCCGACTACGTTTTTCCTTATCACAATGATAGGCTTTCCCAAACGGAAGTTCAGCTAATCAGTGATCCTCTTAAAGGATAATGGAATTATCTACATTTGACTCTCTCTCGTTGGACGAGCGGTCGCAAGTGTTACCGGGCAAGGGGTCTCGGGTTCAATTCCCGGGTCGGGCGAAGTATTACTTGAGTTTTTAAAGAAATCTCAGTATTAGAACGGAGTATGAAATTGTGGGGTATATGACAATAGGCACACCTCCTATAACAATGGACTCATAATATAAATAGTGGAAAGCGGGTGTTATATTATACTGTGGCATTAAGTGTCGTATGTGCACCTCTAAATCGGTGTTAAAAGTTGTGATGTTATGTTAAGTTTTTTAATATTTGTATCGATTCAAACACTCTAATACCGGCTACAGAATTCACGTTACTCAAAAACAAAATATATTCAAAGAAGGTAAAGGATTGAAAAAATACACTCAAATGAGAAAACCTGTGCGCTTTCCAAATAGATCAATGAAATGTCGCTTACATCCTTTTAACCCGTATCGAACCATGGGATTCCCACCAATAGCATACTAATTAAACGCATCAAAGGGCCATCCTATCGATTTGGGCAGTCCCTTTTTATGGCAACTGATACCCTAATAATCTCTTGTAAGGATTACTGTACTTTTAATTGAATCTCACTAATTACGGTACAGCTTTCCGGGTTCAACGTATTTAGGAATAAACGGATTGATGTTTTTTATCCTAACGTCCCAATTATACTGTGTTTGAGTACCATGTACCTAAATATGTTTTTGTTCTTTTAAGAGTACGTACTATTAAACTGTCAAACACCAAGCGGTCACCGGTGACCGCAACCTATTGTTCTTTAATTGTGTCTATAATAACGGTACTCAACGAGTTATGGTGCGTCCACATCTTGCGAATGATCGGCAAATGCGCAGCTTACGAGATTCCCGAGGGGAATTCAAATTATAATTTATACAAACCTTGTATGATTAGACGCCCTAGACGGACATATGCTCACCTAGTGCCTTACTCTTGAAGTCAATTCCGATCGATCGACATTGGTATTGTGAAATTTCGTACTCTTGAGTCGCAATACTAGCGCCTATTGCATCCGTATTGCGTGGATGTTAAATGAACTAAATGGTATTGAGTTTGGCTTTATATTCTGTACTCTGAATGCTATTTTAACAGCTACGATTGTGATTGTATAGTATTGACATGAATAAATATTGAGATTTTATTGGATTGACATTGCATTGACATTGAGATTGGTTTCAAGAGTATGCACCCCGATTTTTTGACTTTTTGATTTTTTGACTGCACGGTTGGCACGGTGGCTGGGCAACTGGCTGCCGTGCAACGTGCCGCGGGTTCGATTCCCACACGGAACAACTCTTTGTGTGATCAAAAGATTGTTGTTCCGGGTCTGGGTGTCATGTGTATGTGAACTTGTATGTTTGTAAACGCACCCACGACACAGGAGACAATCGCAGTGTGGGGCAACGTATTTTTTTTTAAAAAAAAAAAGAAAAATGAATTAATTAGACTTGAATCATAATGAAGTAGATAGGCCTATATGGTACCAATAATACATAGGTATAATATATCCAACCTCAGTTATGTACTGTACATACAATCTTACTAATTATATAACTTGTTCAAGCTCATGTTGATTTTAGCGGTAAAACAACGTTTGATGGTTGCTTTATACCGAGTTGGGAAATCTTGTTTGAATTTTGCAAGCGTTTTTTTTTATTTAACAAGCCCCTCTTTCCTTGATCAGTTGGTAGATTTGTGTGCCCTTTGCCAGTTACACGAGTTGGACTTATTGTTTTATTTTGAGTAATTTTACAGAAGGCTAAATTAAAAGTTCCTTTAACTGACGAGCATGCGTGAAAAGATTGATGACTGTTGATGAAGCGAAATAAGTATGTAGGATTCGTAGCAATTGGCGTTTCGTAGTCGCTACTTATCCCCGTGGGAGGCAGGCGTAAAGTTATGTATGTATATATGTAATATGACACAGAAAAAAAATGCAGGAGTGTATTGAGCTTCCATAACAATATTAGAAAGCAGTTTCAAGTTCTGGTAAAAGTCTTTTAGGTAATGATTTTTAAGGAGGTAAATGGAGATAGAATCTATACAAGGAACTAGGAAGGAATTTAATTGTCTGAAAGAAGAGATATTTATACAACTAACGACGACAAAAATCTAGACAAAAACATTTCATAAGTGTGGGGAGCCATGCTCCGGCATCAATGGGCCGGCTCGACCGGAGTGATACCACGGCCGAGCAGAAAACCGACGTAGAACAACGCTTGCGTTGTGTTTCGTCGTATGAGTTAGTATACAGGAGGCCCAATAACCCCCTGAATCCTCATCTTCCCAATCCCTGAATCTTCAACAATCGTCAAATTCCTAATCTTCAAAAGGCCGGTAACGTACTTGTAATGCCTCTGGTGTTCCAGGTATCCATGGGCGATCGATAATCGATTGCTTAACATCAGGTGATCCTTCTGCTCATTTATCGACTTACCCCATAAAAAATAACCTAAGTGCAACCTAAGTAAGTAACCTTTGCCCGAAAAGTTAGACAAAAAATTCAATTAAAAAAAATTTGGTAGTACATACGATTACATTACATAGGTACATTACACAGATACTTTTTTTTTAAGGGGGGAAAATCATCGAATGACTGCTCCCGCCTGGGTGAGACGGGAGGAAGTGACTCTTACTGACTAAAAACCACCCCGTTCCTTCTCCTGCACGTCGACCCGGAGCCCCGGTTACCCGTTACGTTCTCCGCGACTCCGAATCGGCATCGGCCCTATTGGGCCCCATCTGTGGTGGTCTGATGGCTCTTTGAGGCGCGTGCGGAACGCGACGCGCCGTACGCTCGGGTCTGTTTCTGGTCGGACGGGGAGCCACCCATGCTCGCCGTCCGCAGGCCCGCGCTGGCCGGAGATCGTCCCGCGATCCCCGACGCCCGGTGTGTCCTTCGCGATGGCTGGGTTGCAAGGAGGCAGCGCTTCGCTGCCTCACGCGTCCTGCCTCCTCCTTAGCTAGCATAACTGCTTCGCAAAAGGAGGAGACGGCATCCCAGTCCCCCTCGCTCCGCATCATGGCCTGCACTACGCCCGGACGCGAGAGGTCGCCATCACACAGATACATTAGGTTTCATATTTTGTTGGTATACTTTTTCGATCTAAAATCTAGTCACATGTCAATATAAGACACAAATCCAATCTCAATATCTTGTTCTCTAGGCTGAAACTAATTGTGAACTAAGAAATTTCTAGCTTAATATCCAGTCTACATGTAGAAAGCTTATTACAAAACCCAACTAATATTACAATATAACTACAAGTCTGTCTGTTTGTCAGCTGTTTATGATATATAATTTTTAGTTATAGATAAGGAAAAAATGGTGAATTCACGCAGGCAAAGCCACGGGTAAAATTTGATATTTGTTTTTAAATAGCTATTACAAAGTTTGTTTGTTTAAACGCGCTTATCTCCGTAACAACTGGTTCAATTATAAAATACTTTTTGTATTGAATAGTTCACTTATAGTACAACATGACGCTATAACCAATAGGGACAAAGTAACAGGTGAGTAGTGTCGCGGTAGCACGAAGTTTAAGATGCCCGCTTCTCCTGCATGAGGTTACCGTTCGGAAACCTACCAACGGCAAGTACCAATGTGTTTTTTTCCGAGTTATATGTATTTCTAAGATTATCTAGACACCACTGACAAACGGTGAAGGTAAACATCGTGAGGAAACCTAATCTTATAATTCCTAATTATGAGTTTGAACCCGCATTGAGCAAGCGTGATGATTAATGCTCAAAACCTTGTCCGTGTGAGAAGAGGCTTTGCTCAGCAGTGGGCAATAATAGACTGTTGATGTATGTATGATGTATCAGGTAAAACTGCGAGGCAGTAGCAAGTCTTTCAAATGAAAACTAATTTGGAAGGTTACTAGAAATATTTGTTATAGAAGTTTCATTATTAATATAAGTTCATGTAAAACTTGTTTAATTTAAAGTACAGACTAATTGACATGTGAATTTACACGTGTATCGCCCGAATACTGGAAGGCTACTCAATTTTAAGTGGTACTTAAATATCTGCACGTTAACTCGTTGGCCGAGTGGTCCCAAATGCGACTGCCGGGCAAGGGGTCTCGGGTTCGATTCCCGAGTCGGGCAAAGCATTACTAGGTTTTTAAAAATCTCAGTAGTAGCACGGATTCCGAAAATGTGCCCGGTATATGGCAATAGACTCTCCCCCTATTACATGGGACTCGTAACATAAAGAGTGAAAAGTGGATGTTACATTGTACAGTGGCATTAAGTGCCGAAATGTGCACCTCTGCCTACCTGATGTTATGTTCATAAATATCGTGCCATCTCTATCATTTTACAAAGAATTTGTAGTGACAGAACTATACTTAAGCACGACTTATAATTGAGGAAGATTACACACTTCAAGTGTGGAAGAGCCATGCATCAGCACGAATGGGCCGGCTCGACCGGAGTGATATCACGGCCTCACAGAAGACCGACGTGAAACAACGTTGTGTTGTGTTTTATCGTATGAGTGAGGTTACCGAAGGCCCAATTACCTTTTCCCAATCCCTGAATCCCCAACAAACCTCAAATTACAAAAGGCCGGTAACGCACTTGTAACGCCACTGGTGTTGCAAGTGTCCATGGGCGACGTCAATTATCATTACCATCAGGTGATCCATCTGCTCGTTTACCGGCTTATACCATAAAAGAAAACTTAATGCCACTGCACAATGTAACACCCACTTTTCACTATTTACGTTACAATTCTCATGTGGTGAGCCTCCGTACTCCATGCTACTACTGAGAATTTAAAAAAAAAACAGTAATACTTTGCCCGACCTAGGAAAAACCCAGTAATATTAACGTGTAAAAGTGCTGCCTTGTAGCGTAATTGCAGAAATAAATTCATTTGTTTCACTTGTTTCACGATACAAAACTATAAATAAATAAAGGACAATAAGTATCTTAATAACAGTAGGGCTCGTCGGAGCTCAAGTAAGACCCAAGACCTTTTGCTCAACATTTGACTTTGCAACCATTCAATTAACGGGGCAATTACTTAAACACTAAGATAAACTAAACAATAAAGTATTTCGAAATTACATAACAAGGACAACATTTGTAGCTCAAAACGCTAAAATCATCCAATCAACTAAATGTATGACTTTAACATCCAACATACTACATCCAAAAACAAATATTTAATTTTAAACCTAGAGGTGCAGAAATGTTCAAACAATTTTCCAACACCGTACATAATGATTCACACTCTACAATCTACACAGATAGTGCATATCGCAGCTTTCAAACAAAACTCTACCGTCCCTCTACAAAGAGTTTTACTTTTAAAAATCCGATTTTCAAAAAGTTTAGCCTGAAAATATTGTTGAGTCTCTACAAAGGTTTTATAGAGTGGAAACCTCATTTCGGCTCTAGTTTTTATTAAAATATCTTTTTTTCTTGTTTTCAGGTATGTGGAGGTGGACTTAGAATGGTTTCAGTCCTGAAAGTGTTTTTCAAAAAGATTATGAAAGAGGTAAATTAGTTTTTTGTGGCTTGTTGGTCGAGGAAAGCTTTAATGCGACTGCTGAATGTGGATTTAGATTCGATTCCCTTGTCGGGTAAAGTATTAGATATGACTATTTTTTCGGTTTTCGGAAAGAAACGGGGACCGACAACAGGTGATGGTAAAAACAAGTTTAATTTTCTAGGATAATTTAATTTTCATAAAAGTAAGGAATTAAATGTTTCATTTATGTAATAATTTTGTAATCAACTGCTCAAGGCTGATGTTGCATGAATAACACGAAAACCAAAAACGATTAAAATTATAAACAATTTATATCATTCATATGTATATAGAGGTACATATATATAACGGTACAAACGGTAAACGATCAGGCGGATCACTTGATGGTAAGCGATCGGCGTCGCCCATGGACATCTGGAACACCAGAGGCGTTACAAGTGCGTTACCGGCCTTTTAGGGATTAGGAATTTGAGGATTTTTGGGGAGTCAGGGATTGGGGAGATTGTGCGCAAACAACGCAAGCGTTGTTTCGTCGTGGTTTTCAGTGAGGCCGTAATATTACCCTGGTCGAGCCAGCCCATTCGTGCCGAAGCATGGCTCTCCCACACTTTACCATATATTACATATATTATACACCTAATTATGTAGGTAGGTATTCGGTTATTTACATAATCATGAGCAGTGACTAAGGTTCGCGACATTTCCGTTCCGAAATATATTTTAAGCTGTTACCAGTAAGTTTAATTTTAAACTGCACAGATGTTGTTTTTGTTTTATCTGTGACTCGTTTCTGCAATTTGGGTGGCACACTGCGTCGTGGGAAATGAATGATGCATTTTTGGACAGAAATAGTATTTCAAATTTGTAGATTTTGTGAATAAAATCTAGAAAAGAATGGCGTATGTAGTGGTTGTATTATTAT